AAAAAAAAAAGAATCTATAGGTCCCAAATGGGGGCACTGATAGCTTAAGCAAGGTCATATTGCTAGGGATAGAGTTGGGATGTCAACTTAAAATCTTGGTTCTTTCACCTCCGCCATTTGGCATACTATCCACCTGAGGGATGCAGTCCCGAATTCCCAGGAAAGCAGGTGTGCACAGTACCTAAGAACACACAGTGGGCAGCCCTTGTGAGGTTTGCTCCAGCAAATACAACTGTGAACATAGATCTTGACAACTGTCTTGGGGCTAACTCCTAAAACTCTGCGAACTCTCCTAAAACAGCCAGTTCCTCCGATTAAGAGGCAAAACACTTGTCCTAAGAGGGCTCCATCTCAGCTACAGAGAGTTCTCTTTGGCCAGAAGGGCACACTCGCAGAATTTGGATTCCTCTGGAAGTGAATTAGTATGTATGTAATCTGTCAGAATGGATCCGAGAAACTCGATTCAGGGTTTCTAAAATGAGGTGGTCGATCTTTTAAGAGTTAATTCTACTACCTTAGAAAGAGAACATTGATTTCTAGGTGGAGGCTATTTTATAAGTAGTCTCCTGAAGTAGACAGAGGAGGTTTTACAATCAGTTCTTAAAGTTAAGCTCTCTGGAACTTTCTTGTGCATACTCAGAAATTCCTATTACAGAAATCATATAAAGGGGTTTCTTTTTTCATTTCTTCCCATAAACTTTGGACAAAAAATACATTAAACATAAACATGCCTTTCTTCCCCATCCACATGTGATCCTTTCTTTCTCCTGTAACATGCTCGACGCCACCGCCAGCCTGGGTCCCGCTGACTCCAACTCAGGGCCGACTCCATGCAGGTCAGAATAAAATGGCTCCATAGGGTTTTCAGGGGCTGGTTTGGGAAGGCTGAATTGCTAGATCTTTTTCTGAGGCAGTGTCTCTGGGTCAACTTGAACCTCCAACCTTTTGGTTTGCAGTCAAAGATGTCAACCATTTGTACCCTCCAAGAACCCCAAAGGAGCACAGACAAGGATGGCTAAATCTAAGTGAATCCCACATGCTTGAAAATCTGTCTGGTACCAAGAATCAACACTGCACTTTATGTACTTAAAAATATTCAGTGAATTGATTGTGTCATCAATATTTTTCCCACTGAGGGACTTCTCTTCTATGATGGAACCAAACCACGATGATTCAAATTTTGGGTCAGCAAAGGGGGCTTCTATTGGATTAGACCACAGAGCACAAGCTATCACTGTATCATCATGCGTGGATCTTTATATGTGGGCTTATATGTTAGGGCGGGTCTGTGCCTTAAAATGATGTCTTGAGTGTTCCCCTAGGCCCTCAGTAACATATTTTTTGTTCTTTTTTCAGCAGTCAGCAACAGAAATATGTTTTTCTGTATTCATTTGAGGACTGTCTCTCATCTATGGGACTCTTTCATCGTGTTGACTTTAGGTTAGGTGTGTATATATATGTAAAAGCTGTTCTGTGCTTTATGGATTATAGATGTTCCTGAAACAATGAATTCCATCCTATTTTGAAAGTGCTTGTATCTGCTTATAAAAAAATAATAATAAAAAATAAAAAGCCTTTCACCAAGTAAGGAATGACTGATTTCTCTGCTCCAGAAACATGCCTGTTCCTACAACTTAAATTGACCACATCTGATACATATAATACTTCTTCTAATATAAGCCAAGCATTCCCTTTTTTCAAAAGGGTACAAATAGGGAATTCTTATTATTATTCCCAAGTTAAAATGGAAAGCAAAAGCCTTGATGGTGTCTTTAAAATAGAATAGCCATCTGTTTGAGTCTCTCCTCCACCACTCAGGAACAGTGACAACAACAGATGCAATGATAACTAATTATCCCCAATGCCAAACCAGGAGCCTCCAGGGGGCAGGGCCGAGGGCCAACCTAGACATACCCTTCATGACAGATATTACCATTGATGAGGCTGAAAGTGGCCACCGAGGGGTTGGTGGTCTTAAAGGAAGTCATACAGGTGGTGCTCCTGGCGGTGCTGTGGGAGCGCGCCAGCAGGCCGGGCCGGCAGCAGAGGAGCTGGGTGTTGAATTGTTTCCGGAAGCTCTTGCTCAGCAGGTAGAGAGCGAAGGGGTTCACGCAGGAGTTGGTGAAGGCCAGGAGGCGGGCACAGATACTGGTGATGAAGTGGAGCATGGAGGTGTCTACCTTAGAGTAGTGGTAGGAGCGGTACAGGTAGATGACGTGGTTGGGAAGCCAACAAAAGGCAAAGAGGGCCACAAACACCAGCACGGTCTTGGCAAGTCGCTTCCGGGATTCAATCTGAGGAGACAGACACACAGGCAGAGACAAGGGTGCAAACAGAGAAAAGGATAGGGCCAGAGAAGGAGGAAAATAAGAGACAAGGGTTCACAAAATGATGGGAGAATCAGGACAACGAGAGAAAGACAACAGAAACAGAAAACAACAACAGCAACACACCAGGCAGACACACAGGAAGTGGAAATGCATGAGAAAGAGTACAGTTAGCATACACCTCCAAGAACAGATCTGTACACAAAGTTGATTACATGCTTGAATGAAATTCTGGTAAGTGCCCCCTTTCCCTCAGGAGAGCCCTAGTGCCCTCGATCAGCCATACAACTGCACGCCTCTCTTTGCGGTTCCCTTTGAAGCTCAAAGACGCAGCCATCTTTGTCCTGCCTTATTGGCCAAACCAAGGTCTAACTCCCTATTAATTAGTTTTCATTTTTAATCCTAAGTCATTTCTGGCCTATATTTTACAGAAAAGTTCTTAAACAACGTGGGCTTGGTTTCTCCTTTTTTTGCTTCTAAGTCCTGCTGCTGCCAGGGGACGGCGTTTCACATTTGAGACCTTACAGAATGATGGGAGCTCTCAAATAAGTGACCTTTCAAGCAGGGAGATGGTTTCATTGAGAATGGCCATGTCCTGCCCAACAATTACGGCAAAAAGAAATCAACTTTACAGAACAAGGCCTCCAACTGAGTTATTTATTTGAGTGGGTTGGGAGGCTTTCTGCCTTCCCATCATAAAGCCCGAGGATCTACATCTGGGCCAGAAGCCAGGAAGAATGGACCAAGAGGAGAGACCCAGCAAGTCTAAGCAGGGAGTTTAGCAGTACCAAAAATAAATGCAAGGGACCAAAATCCCCAAGGAGGAGATTGATCTATTCTTAGCACCCACCTGCTTCTTGACATGGATATTCCCCTCCACAGGCAGGTTGTAAGCACTCTGGATCAGATTTTTGGCAATGAAGTAGTAGTAGACAGAGATGATGGACAGTGGGATGATGTAGAAGACCAGGAAGGAAGCCATGGAGTGGATTTTGGGGTGCAGCTCATTGGAGTGTGGGTATGGGGCACAGCTAATGAAGGTCTGGTTGGTGCTCTCCTCATAGAAGGGATGCAGGTCTGAAAACACAGCTTCTGGGATGGCCAGCAGCATGGAGATGATCCAGATGAAGGCAGCTTTGAGGCAGATCTTCATCAGAGCATGAGAGGCCTGAATATCCATTGGCCGGACAATGGCTTTGTACCTGGGCAAGAAAGAAGTTACATACAGTGTAAGCTGTGTGATATTATTATGGCTTCCAGGTCTAGGACTCGGGCGAGGCAAGAAAAGCACCTACAGTGCACCGAAGAGCCACCATGCGGTTACAACTTCCTGAAAGCTTCTCTTCTCTCTCTTCTCATTGTATATTTAAGGACATGTTACAAAAAGATGAAGTTGGACCAGCATTTTACACCATAAACCAAAAGTAACCCAAAATGTAAGGGACAAAAGCCACAAAATTCTTAGAGGAAAGCAGAGGTAAAAGGTCAAGACTTCAGTTTTTGATAATGGATTCCTAGATACGACTCCAGAAGCCTGAACAACCAAAGACAAATTCAATAAATGGACTTCACCAACAGGAACCATTTTTGTGCATCAAAGGATTTTTTTCAACAAAGGGAAGTAACAACTTGTAAGAAAATAAACCTAATAAAGGTAACATCCAAAATATGAAAAGAACTCTACAACTTAAGAACAAAGAGATAACCCTATTAAAAAACAAACAAACATGAGCAAAGGACTTGACCTGCATAGATATCTCTCTAAAGAAGATGTAATAGTGACCAATAAGCACAGGAAAAGGTGCTTCATGTGACTAGTCATTACCAACTAAAACCAAACCCACTGCTATCAAGTCCTACCTTACAGGGAAGGGTAGAACTGCCCCTTTTGGTTTCTGAGATGGTAACTTTTTATGGGAGTAGAAAGTGTCATCTTTCCCTCGTAAAGTAGCTGGTTGTTTCAAACTAATGACCTTGTGGTTAACAGCCTAACTCATAACCCACTGTACCACCAGGGCTCCCTTTACCCAACATTAGGGAGGTATGAATTAAAACTACAAAACTACCATCTCATACCAAATACATTGCTATGACTCTAACATCAGAAGTTAGGAAGTGTTGGAAGGGATGTAGAGAAATTGAAACCCTCATGAATTGTTAAAGAGAATCTAAAATGGTCCTGCAACTGTTACAGTTGAGTGCTTCTTCAAAATTTTAAATAAAGACCTACCATACAACCCAGTATTTCCACTGCTAGGTATATCCAGAAAAAAAACTTGAAAGCAGGGATTCAAACAGATACTTACATAGTAATGCTCAAGGTGTTATTCACAATAGCTAAAATGTGGTTGTGGTCGTTGATAATTTCATATCAACTTGACATATAAAAGTGTAGGGGTGGAGTGTAGCCTGTCAGTCAAGTCACAGCCTGATGGTACCTCCCTGTGGGTCTGGCCTTCTCATAAGGAGGGTTTTGGTAACCTCCCCATCTTCCTCTCTGTCTTCACCTTCGTGCTAGTTAGCCATTCTGGGACTTGCCAGAGCCCTGTGATGCTTCCACCACCACTGGATCCACAAGACTTTGCACCCACTGGCCTGTGATCTTCCTGCATTTTGCATCATTGCATTATGAACTAGTATCAGACTTATGGACTTGAATTGGACTGGGCTACAATGTTTTCCCAATATACAATTACTTCTTGATATAAACCTCTTTCTTACACATATATGAGTGTCATTGGACTTGTTTCTGTAGTCAACCAGGCCTAACACAGTAGTAAAGTGTATCTTTTTCCATCTTAGTATCTGTGGTTTACATACACTCCACAAATGTTTGATTTACACATGAGCTTCTACAGTGTGGAAGTTGGGACCAGCTAAACATGATAGTTGTTCGCTGTTGAACATACCGTGTTGAAACTGGTTTTGACCTATGATATTTTCTTGTATCATGGACCTTAATTATAGGACACTTATTTCCTGCTTCATGTGTTTTTGTGTCGAGAGACCTCAATTGAATCCATTCTTGGTCATGTCCTGCCTCTTCACTCACTTTCCTCTCCTTGCTAGGAAAAGGGCAGTGAGTTATTAGGTAGTGAATTTGGGGAAAAATAACTGGCATGTGCATGAGCTCTGGCAGACCTGAGGTTGTCCAAGTACCTTTGAAAACTGGAATTGTATATCTGATACAGGAGATCAGAGAGTGTCTGCCGGCTCATCATTGCAGATCTAAGTCATAACTCATAGAAACAATGATTTTTATTGTCATCTGTCTCACTTTTATACCTAGCTCTCTGTACCAAATTCAAATGGGGATGAGTTGGATATTATTTATTGTACACCTCCAAAAGCATGCACTTGATAACAACACTATAACCCTATATCCATGTACCTGGTTTGTGTTTCCATAACAAGTTCGAATTTGCTCCTCCTGAACAATGATCACAAAACCAGAAAACTTTCAAAGGAGTTTCTCTTTTCTTTCGGCATTGTCTCTATTTATTAGTTATTTCAAACCTTTTTATTCCTAGCTTAAATCTTTAATTAAATTATATAAATATCTTCATCTAAACATGTATATGAGTAAAGATATCTCCAATAAATTGAGCAAAGATTGTGATTATGACTTTTATCTGAATCCAGAAGTCATAAATACTTTCAAATCTCTAATTAAAAGTGATTCATCCATCCATGAATCAGAATCCAGAGTTACCTCCTGTTCACTTGGGAGCCTTGTATTCCTCTAAGTCAAAATTAACCATGGGGATTATTGAGGTCTTATTTCAAAATCATGTACAGTATTATAAAATGTAAACACATAGCATAAACACATTTCTTTCACTGTTCTTGCAGAAAAAAATTGAACCTAAATCTAATTAAGTCCCTAGATCTGTGTACCAGTTTGCAGGAAGTGGGAGGATAAAAGAGCCTGTTATGTGGTGCCATGAGGATACAGTCAGAAAAATTCCAAAGCAGAAAATTCTACCAGAATAATGACTCTTTTATTTTCTCCAACAAATGCATGGCACTCAAAAGCAAGGAGAATGATTGCAGATCAACTGAGAGTGGAAGACACAGCAATCAAAGGCATTGTGTAGACCTCTTTTGGATTTTGATTCAAACCAACCAACCATAAAAAAATATTTTTGAAATGATTGTGTGAAATG